CACCCAAAAACTGAAGAAAAAAAAAAAAAAAAGAAACGTATCGGTGTATCTGTTTGGGGAACCAGAAATGACTTTCTTTTCCCTCTGTTCAACAGTTCAACAGACTCTTTTAGAGAAATAGAAGATGGTCTGAACAAGCAGCCGACTGGGATCCTAACACCTGCTTCAGGCTCCTCCTAGAAATACACCTGCCGCCAGAGGGGCGACACAGGAGGCCTTTCTGTAGATTCTGTGTGTTAACCTTGAGACGCCTTTGCCAGCTGCCTCCAGGCAGACGATGTTTACTAACGATGACTTTTACATCCAAGAGGGGCCTTGTACACAACACTCTCCAAGGCCCATGGGGAGCTTCCTGTGTGATGTGAAAAGCTGACCCTTATCAAGTCCCCACAATTTGAATATCAGCCTCCCCCGAGGTACCGCCACCTGGAAGTCTGGGCCCCTCAGAGATTACGCGCACCTTGAAACTTCCATGGTTTCAAGGAAACTGTTTTTTAAGGAAACAGTGTCAACTGTTTGTTTGTTTGTTTGTTTGTTGGTGTTAAATATTAGGCAAGCCTTCCATCCATTTTCCTAAACATCTCTTTCATTTGTGAGGATTTTTTTTTCATACCAGGCTAATAAAAAAGAATTTGGAAACCAAGCTAGTTTTTTTATGTAGATGTTTTATAGCAGGGTTGAATTTTAGAGACAGCTGTGGAGTTTAGTGGGAGGTAGTCTAAGTTCCTTTCTCTGGGGCTCGAAGACACAGGAACAGCCCAGCACTTTGGTTTCTGCGGTTCTTCTCTGGGCCTTTTCTTTTTATCTGTTGTGTCACGTGAGGTCAAGTCCTCCATGTCTAAATATTTGGGTCTATGGAGATACTTTCCTCCACCCAAATACCTCAATCCAGATTCTCTCTGGATCAAGATTCTCTCCTCCAGCCAGATACTCCCTGCATCCAGATTCTCCCTACATTCAGGTACTCCTTACATCGAAATTCTCCCTATATTCAGATACTCCCTTCATCCATATTCTCCCTACATTCAGATACTCCTTACATAGAGATTCTGCCTATACCACATACTACCTGCATCCAGGTTCTCCCTGCATCCAGATACTCCCTGCATCCAGATGCTCCCTACCTTCAGATGCTTCCTGCATCCAGATTCTCCCTACACTTAGATACTCTCTGCATCCAGATTCTCCCTGCATCCAGATGCTCTCTATATCCAGATTCTCCCTATACCAGATACTGCCTGCAACCAGGGTCTTTGGCATACAGATACTCCCTGCATTCACATTCTCCCTATATTCAGGTACTCCTTACATGGAGATTCTCCCTATATTCAGATGCTCCCTGCATCCATATTTGCCCTATATTCAGATATTCCTTACATTGAGATTCTCCCTATGCCAGATACTACCAGATACTACCTGCATCCAGATTTTCCCTACATCCAGATTCTCCCTACATTCAGATACTCCCTGCATCCAGATTCTCCCTATATTCAGGTACTCCCTGCATCCAGATTCTCCCTATATTCAGGTACTCCTTACGTCAAGATTCTCCCTATATTCAGATGCTCCCTGCTTCCAGATTTTCCCTATACTCAGATATTCCTTACATTGAGATTCTCCCTATGCCAGATACTACCTGCCTCCAGATTCTCCCTACATCCAGATACTGTCTGCTTCCAGATTCTCCCTGCATTCAAATTCTCCCTATGTTCAGGTACTCCTTACATGGAGATTCTCCCTACATTCAGATGCTCCCTGCATCCATATTTGCCCTACATTCAGATATTCCTTACATTGAGATTCTCCCTACATTCAGATACTCCCTGCCTCCAAATTCTCCCTACATTCAGATACTCCCTGCCTCCAAATTCTCCCTACATCCGGATACTCCCCATTTCCAGATTCTCCCTACATTCAGACACTCCCTATATCCAGATTCTCCCTGCATTCAGATACTCCCTGCATTCAGATACTCCCTGCATCCAGATACTCCTTACATCAAGACTCTACCTACACTAGATACTATCTGCATCCAGATTCTCTTTGCATCCAGATAGTCCTCTGAATTAACACTCTCCCTATATCCAGAGAGTCGCTTTGTCCAGTTATTTCTCAGAATCCAGATTTTCCCTACTCCAGATTCTCCCTGCATTCAGATGCTCCCCTGTGTCCTCCTGGGTTTCCTCTGGGTTGAACTCTACACACTTGCGGGCTGTGCGTACTGTCCTTCTACAGGTTGAACGGTTCTGACCCAAGAACTGGGCTCAAGAAGTGAAACTGCTTTGTAAACGAGGACATCCTTCTGTACTTCCTAGTGGGGTGGAAGTAACTGAAAGCAAAGGAGGATTCTCTCCCCTGTTAAGACTTTTCCCCATCTAGGGCAGGGACGGCCCACATCAGCAGGCTGCCCCCAGGGATTTTTTTCTGTGCAAGCCGAGAGAGGGCTCTGCTTAGATTCAGGGTTAATCTTATAAAGTGTAAAAGCTCCGATACGCCAAACAAGATTGATGTGTCATCCATAAACTCGCCTCTGCTGAAAAATGAGGGTATCGTCACTGTGTCCCCAGCAGCATGAGCAGAGTAATGTAAACCTCTTAAAATCATCATCCCAAGAGAAGTGGTTTCATGGGGAAGCTTCATCTTGTCTCTGGTAACAGCGTTAAGAGCTACCACCTGCCTCAAAGGCTGAGTTTCTCGTGAATCTCTCTCTGCGCAGAGGTGGGCCGTGTTCATAGCTCTGCGGGCTGCCAGCACAAATCACCTGACTCGGGGAAAAAGGTGGCTCAGAGGCCGTGAATTCTGAATCTTCTCACTTCTATTTTCAGAGACTGTGCTAGCAGTTTTGGGGACTGGCACCTGAGCCGTCCCTGTGCCGTTGAGGTCAGAACGCCTTCCCACGCCCCCACCATTCTGCAGCTGTTGGTGGGCGCAGTCCCCTGGGTCTTTGGAGCATTAGAGATATTTCCTTCTGACTCTGGCACTACCAAAAACTTTTGAGCATGGGAAAGTAGGTGGAAAAAACAATGGGGACCCCTTGGCATTCAACAGGTATCTGATGGACGCCACCTGTGGGCTAGATGTATCCTCCACGGGCGGTGATATTCTAGATTCTTATCCACCGTCAAGGATCAAGGGCTGAAGCCAGGCTGAGCCAGTGCACTGGGGCCGCTTGCTAAATGCACAACACATTTCTGGTTTATAAATCACAAGGGGTCACATATATTCTACAAAGACAGACAGATTTACCACCTGGTCCTCCCAAAGTAACCACGGAAGATTGTCTTTGAAGTCAGATTCTGCATCCCGACTTGCTTTATAATAATAAAAATAATACATAAAATCTGGGGTTTTCTTTTTGGTCATTCTGTGAAAATAAGGTATATTCTTGCTTTTTAAGGGATCGAAGATGTGAAAATTAAGACCTACCTTATCTGTTTTGCTTCCTTGATCAGCTATATCTCCAAATCCCCACTCATTTGATCCATCAAAGTTTAGAGAGGTGATGTAAAGTGTTTTCCCCGCAAAGTGCCCCATCTCCAAAACCTGCATTTATTTTTACTGCTGGGCTCACTGCCTCACTAGCTGGACATCAGGCTTTGGGGAAGTGTTGTGCCCACTTTGTGATTCGTACTCACTCAGCTCGACAGACATCACCAGGTCTCCTGGGACCACTCCACTTGGATGTCAGTGGGGCACCTGTCACAACCCACCTGGGAGCAGCTGTGCAGGCTGCCTGGTTTGGTATTGTTCTTATGCTAATAATGTCTTTCTATGTCTAAATCAATTTTAAAACTGAAAAGAATAACAATAGTTTGTGATGAATAAAAAGAATGTGAAACTCTGATTTCAATGCCTGTAAATAACGTCTGGTTGGGACACACAGACACATCGCAGGGATCCCAATAGG